CCTGGTGACACCCATGTGTCAGACTGCATTGCAAATAAGGAATACGCCATTTTTTAAACTATATGTTGGTGTTTAACAGTAATAAGCTTCCCAATCAACAAGGCTCCTGCCCCCTGAGCAGCAGTGTTGATTGGAGTACTAGCGAGGGGGCATGCCAGGCCTCTGCACTCCTAAAAGGAGGCCTCAGGTTGTAACTTGCATCCCCTTTGCACTATGTTACTGTTACACATGCTAACGTGTTCATGAAATAGAATGGATTATGTTTAATTTAATCTAGATAGAAAAGGACTTGGCAAGGTTTTCCATTCTCAATCATTATAGAGCACACCTATTCTACAAATATGCTTTTGGTATCAGACCAGATGTTATCGTTCTTCTATCATACTCACTAAGGCTGCTCTCTGTAAATTAAAGCTCCACACGGGACAAAACGTTTTTCTAGTTCTAGACACAGCATGTGTCTTTCTTCTGGAGATTTCTTCTCACTTCCTGTCTTTTTAATGGGTGTCAGCAAGTGCACCCTGACAGAATGTTAGTTTTCTTCTACTTGTGCTGCAAAACATAACACTAGCTGTAGACCAGCGGTAACTGTGATCTTTAATAACAATCTATAGAGGAAAATAATGTTCTTTCTCAATCGTTCATTAGGGGACACAGGGGATTCAGAGACAATTGGGTTATACTGCCACCTTCAGGAGAAATTAACACTAGCAACCAAACAAAATTTGTAAAAACCCCTCCCACTCCATCCATGCCTCTTTTTTTTTTGCTGGTTTTCTCATTTAATTCAATTTGTTGTCAAGAGCTCTTTTCTGCAATCAAGATTCTTTGTTACTGTGAACCAAAAAGAGCTCATAGATGGTGTTTTTTGGATCGACTTATCCCTGACCCAGCCTAGGGAGCCATACCTGGACCTGGGGCTCACCTGAAACGTGACCCTTTGGTCACTGAGCTCTGCTTGGCCGCATTCCAGGTCACCTAGTGTAGTGTGTAAGTGGGCTGCAGAGCGTTTTAGAGGTCCAGGATCATGCTACACCCACTGGTGGGGCCTGTCCCTAACCACCAATTAAGGAGAATTCCTGTGAGGGGTTTGCCTCCTGGGTCCTGCTGGCTCCTACATTGCTGCACTGGTGGCTGCAGGGCACCTTGCTGATCTCTGCTGTGATAAATCGGGGCTTTTCCCCTCTTGGAGGTATAGTGTGTGCTGGGCTGGTTATCTCCGCTGCCGTTAACGAGCTTTGACCAGTGTGGTCACTAGCTTTGGCGGGTGCAGGTTGCTCCTACAACATTCAAATTATGTTGAATGCGCCTGCACAACCTTCTCCATTGTGGCAGCTACTGTGCATGCATGAGCCCACACACTGCCTCTCCTGCCTTCTACTGTCGCTGGAGGAAGCTTGTCTCCCCTTCAACATACTGGAACCCAATTCTAGTCTAGACCAGAAGAGTGATCTGGTTATCCTCACTATTCACTGGACAGGTGGGTGTGGTTCTTGGACCTCATCAGACTCCTGGCGGAATCTTTATGGATCTCTGCTGTGGTAAGTCTGGACTTTTCTCCTCTTGGAGCTATAGTGTGTGTTGGGTTGGTTATCTCCACTGGCATTAAAGTCTGGGCCTTGACCGGCATTTGCGGACGCAGGTTCCCCCTACTAGAATTGAAATGTGTTGCATGCGCTCTTCTAGTGTGTCTGCACAGCCTCCTACATTGTGACAGCTACTGCACATGCAACGCACTGCTATGTACTGCAGTGCACCACTGCCACCATCCTCTCCTGGAACTGAGCATCAGGTTCCTTCCATCTGCCTACAGTGCCTACAGACTGCCACACGCCTCTCCCTGCTTCTGTAGTTGTTCTCTGCATATGCACACATAGGAGACCCATTCTACATATCAGGCATGTAATATCGGCAAGCTCAACAACACAGTAGTGCTGGGCTACAATTAAAAGTTCCAATTATTGGAGGACAGGGGGATCATTGAGGATGGATCCTGGATCCCTAGACATATATTTGTAAGGAAGTAGTGTCCAGGAGTTACAAGCTTGAATTTCAAGTTCTGCCTCCCCACAGAGGCTTGGAGGCCTCCGTGCTTCTCTAGCACATCTCCTTTCTCAGGAAATCAGCCATGGTCACGGAACAAGAAAGGTTTCAGGTTTCTATTACAACCTTTTTTAGTGTCCCCAAAGCAAAGGGGGCATTTGCCCCATCCAGTGCTTGCTCTGCTTCGGTTCCATAGCGGGATACCTGGACACCTAAGGGAACAGTTGGGCCAAACTTTATCTGCCAACATACATCGTACTGTGCAGACTCTACAAAGGTTTGGTTTGGTTCTGAACCTGCAGAAATTCAGCAATAGAACTGACTCATGCATGGAGTATCTGAGTCTCCTGGATACTGCTCAGTCAAGATTCTTTATCTATAGGACTCCTGACCCTCTGCTCTCAGGTTCGGACTCTGCAGTCCAGGAGCCGTTCAGCCCTCTGATTTTGAGATTTCTGAGCTCGTGGTTGCCCCCTTTGAGGGAGTCCTGTATGTCCAATTGCACTTTCTGGCAGGTTCTTTAGACAATCACATGCATCTGCTGTCCAGCACCAGGCTTTCCCTGGGCTGGTGGCTCACAATTCTGGCCCTGGAGTTAGGGATGAACCGCATGATGGATGTCAGCCTGATAGGCTGTGGAGGAGTCCTGGACATCCAGGGGAGTTGGTCGCTGGAGGAAGCTGGCCTTCCTATCGATTCCATCACATACTGGAAGAGCAATTCGGTTATCCTTTCAATGCTGGATGTCTCGGCTGTAGGGTCACTCGACCAGTATTCGGTAGGACAATGCCACAGCAGTGCCATACCTCAACCATCATGGAGGAACCAGAAGTCTCGCAGGTCAAAAAGAGGCCAATCAGAACTTCACTTTCTCAGTCATCAATGTCTGGACTTCGGAGAATGGTCTAATCAACTGGAGGTGTTTCAAGACCTCTGTCGCAGGTGAGGAACACCTGACATGGACCTCCTGGTTTCCAGATTCAGGAAAAAACTGAGCAGATTTGTCTCCATGTTCTCCATGTTCAGAGACCTTCTAACCCTAGCAGTGGAAGTCATGGGGACTCCATGACATCAGTTGAACCTATTTTACATAATTTCCCCTCTGAAGTGCCTTCCTCATTTGCTTTGCAGAATGGAAATGGTGGACATTCCGATGATGCTCATTGCACTGGACAGACCCAGGCAGATGTGGTACTCTGACCTTGTCATGGCTCATGGTGGACTTTCTATGGTCTCTCCCCGATCACCCAAAATTACCCTGCCTCAGTCTCCAACAAGGTCTTCAGTCACCCCTAAAAGGCATACTCCACATGGTGCGGGGCAATGAAGTCCCATCTCAGGAAGTACTCAATGGGACGTATCCTGGTCTTTCTCCAGTCAGGCCTGGATCAATAATTGGCCTTCAGTACCATCAAGGGTCAGATCTCGGCCCTTGAAATCCTTTTTTCAAAGGTTGCTTGCCTTGTTTTTTCACCTGTAAAATCCTCCTCCGAGTAGATCTAGAAACCTTGAGACTGGTGCTGGGTGCCGCCATCTTGAATTAGATGTCAGCAGCCCCAACAGACTCACGGGACGCTCCTCCTCCCCTGGCTGCCACATATAAGTAGAGATGAGCTCTGAACAAGGAAGTTCCATGGACATTCCCTGCTCGGCAGCTGCATGTAAACAAAGGGGCGGGATGCTTGTGCTGATCTAATTTACCTTATATGGCCATATAGCTTTATTAGGTTAATAGTATTTACATATAAGGTCGATTATGTCACTACTTCCCGCCCCTTTGCATATGTCAAGCCAATTGAGCAGCACGGACAGAGTCCCCTTCTGGGTTCTGAGCTCAGGATCGGACTGGGTTCCTGAGCTCATCCCTATTTTACGGTTACATAGAAAGGGGAGGGGCAGAGGAGCTGTGCCAGCAAGGAGAATAATTAGACATTCCCAAAGGAGGAGAGGACTACCATGTGGCAGGAAGGAGGGGGGGCCCTGGTTGTGCTGGGTAATTAATTCTTCCCAGAGTGGATGAAGTCTGCAAAGGGTGAGCTGGGGAACAATGAGGGGAATTTATCAATACTGGAGTAGACAGAATCTGGAACAGTTGCCCATGGCGACCAATCAGCTTCTCTCTTTAATTCTCAATGCTTAACTGAGCAAACTGAAAAGAGAAGCTGATTGGTTACTCTGGGCAACTGCTCCAGATTCTGTCTGCATCCGTGTTGATAAATACCCCCCAATGTAACTGATATCAGGACAGGCAGAGAGCACAGGAAGTTATCAGTGTAATGGATCTCTGGCAGGATCAACAGGTGTTTTTTTGGCACTTAAAGGTATATTTAAGAGATCAGAGACAAAATAAGAGAATTTCTGTTAGATTTTACATAACATTTAAGCCACAGGGGCAGGCAACCTCAGCAGCTGTGGTGAAACTACAAATCCCATAATGCATCTGCTTCTGTGAGTCATGCCTTTGGCTGGCAGAGTCTTGCAATGCCTTATGGGACATGTAGTCCCACAGCAGCTGGAGCGCTGAGGTCGCAGCTCGTTTTCCTGCATTAAAACAGCCACACTATGGAAGCAATGCCCCGCAGGTCTGATTTGTATTACAGCCAATGACACCCCATCTCTAATAACATCCCCCTATTACTACAGTCAGCTCTATCCTCTCATGAACTTCCCGAGAGGGGGCGTGCCCACCAATCCATGAATAAGCATGAGACAGCTCTAGCGGCTGGAATAAACCATTCTTCCCTGCAGGGGAGCACAGCAAAACCCAGCCTGTATTTGGATAAAAACGAACTTTTGCTTTAACTTTAGAGAACAGAAGTCCTCAATTAGTATATCGCCTGCAACTTTCGTTAGTGTGTAAAAAAAATGTAAACAATATAAAATATAATAACCCCCCCCATGGCATGAAATGGGCTAGTCTTAAAGTTAATCAACTTGCCAGGTTGCCCGGTGGGTACAGTGACAGCCTGCGGGAGACAGCTATGGCAGGTGAGTGTAGGGGGGGAAGGGGGCTTCCGGGAGGGGGGCAGGGGGTGGGGGGTATGATGGCAGGGACATTGCACTGTGTATGCATGGCTGACAGATCCAGATCCATGATTGCCATACACAGAACCATGATTGACAGATACAGAACCATGATTGACAGATACAGAACCATGATTGACATACAGAACCATGATTGACATACAAATAACCATGATTGACATACACAGAACCATGATTGACATACAGAACCATGATTAACAGATACAGAACCATGATTGACACATACAGATCCATAAATGTCATACAGAACCATGAATGACATACAGAACCATGGCTCGCATTTACTGGGAAGGTTAGTGCTGGGGTTAAAGAAAGGGTTAGGGTTGCCACCTGTCCGGTTTTCAACCGGACAGTACGGTTTTTGCATCTTGTGTCCGGTTTTCCGGCCACCGTAGCCCCGTACACGAGATGTCACAAGTTCAGACAGGGGCAGCCCCTGGGTCCTAGAGAGGAATGCGTGAAGGAGGACCTTCTGCTGTGCTGTGTGAGCACAATCCCGGCAGTCAGAGCGTGCGGCTGTCTGTGTGGCTAAAGGTACGTGTTTTAAGGGGTTAATCCGGGCCGGTACTAGTGTGTTATACAGACAGTGCCCGATAGTCTCTGAACTGTCAGAGCGCTGTCTCCTTTGCTTAGTGTACTTTACCAAAAAATTGCCGCAAGGCGCTACAGTGTTCGGGTTTGGCTTGAAGAAAAGGTGGCAACCCTAGTTAGGGTTGCAGGAAAGGTTAGTGTTAGGGTTACAGGAAGGGTTAGTGTTGGGTATACAGGAAGGGGTTAGGGTTACAGGAAGGGTTAGGGTTGGGTGTACTGGTTAGTGTTAGGGTTACAGGAAGGGTTAGTGTTGGGTATACAGGAAGGGGTTAGCGTTAGGGTTACAGGAAGGGTTAGTGTTGGGTATACTGGAAGGGGTTAGGGTTACAGGAAGGGTTAGTGTTGGGTATACAGGAAGGGGTTAGTGTTAGGGTTACAGGAAGGGTTAGTGTTGGGTATACAGGAAGGGGTTAGTGTTAGGGTTACAGGAAGGGTTAGTGTTAGGGATCCCGGGAACATTCATTGAACATGTTACTTTTCTGCCTTCTGATCTGATGCACTAAGGTGCAGTATGGGATTTTGGTTATGGAGATGGTTAGCTTTAGGTATACATAGAGAGTTAGTGTTGGAGTTACAGGAATGATTAGTACAGGAATAGTTAGTGTTAGGGTTACAGGAAGATTTAGGGTTACAGGAAAGGGTTAGTTTTAGGACTACAGAAAGGGTTGGTTTTAGGATTACAGAAAGGGTTGGTGTTATGGGTACGGAAAGGGTTAGTTTTGGGCTTACAGGAATGGGTTGGTGTTAGGGTTAGGGGGGGAGGAGAGGGGGGTTAGTGTTTGGTTGTGCAGGGAGGGTTAGTGTTATAGTTACGAGGATTGTTAGGATTAGGAATATAGGTAGGGTTAGTTTTAGGGTTAGCGTTACCATGAGGGTTATTGTTGGGGGTACTGAAGGACAGGTTTTTTTGGTTACCGTGACAGGGTTACCATGACGGTTAGTTTTCTAGTTATAATGATGGTTCGTGTTAGGGTTATGTAGTAAGGTTTCGTGTTGTGGGAACAGAGACGGTACCACTCCAGCATTGGCAGGCGGGCGGCTGGGGGTCATTACATCTGAAGACGTGTGCATGTGATTGCCTCTGTTTTGCAGATAAAATGTTGGCTGCACATTTCGATCCTCCGGGAGGACCAGATAACCTCTGTGTTAAAGAAGTGATCAGACCTGTACCAAAGGAAGGGGAGGTTCTTATACAAGTCCATGCCAGTGCCCTGAACAGGGCAGATTTACTGCAGGTATGGTCAGGGTTATACTTCCAATGTCTCCATGGAGATATATGTATTCATGGTACACAACTTAGATCTGCCATCTGTGAAACATAAAAGCTTTATTGATTTTGCAGACGAGGGGACGTTATCCCCCACCCCCGGGAGCCAGTCTTATCCTGGGTCTGGAAGCAGTGGGCAAAGTGGTGGCACTCGGTCCAGGTGCTGATGGATGTTGGAAGATTGGAGATCGAGTGATGGCTCTTCTGGCTGGAGGAGGAAATGCTCAGTATGTGGCAGCACCTGCCAGTCAGCTCATGCCAATCCCCCCTGGCATGACCGATACCGATGCTGCCTCCATCCCTGAGGCCTGGCTCACCGCGTACCAACTCTTGCACTTTGTGGGTAAGTGATTCTCTTCTTTTTGGAGCTATAAAGGCATTCAAACATAATCTTTGTAGGCTATTGAACTTCAATGCCGTGTTTATTAAAGGGCGGTATTTTAGCTATACATCGGGCCCGTTGGCTGAGTCAGTCCCCGGCTTCTCAAATGTCTTGGATACCCCAACAACAACAGGACTGACCCTTTAAGAGAAAGTTGCTGTGGGGCCCACATGATGAAACTATGAACCTGTAGTAACAAAGTTTTCATTGCACAATATTTCCACACCAACAGAAACTTTGAAAATTATTTCTAGATGGGACGTCCTTTGGCAAACCTTTAGATCTGTGTCTAAGACTATGCGGTGTATTTATAAACAATTGAAATAGCCATTCGCCCTGCCAGATAGCATGTACATTTGTTCTGTGTAAACAAAGGCAAAAATGAATGTTATTAGCATTTTTTCTTTCCAGGTCAAATGTAATATCAGGTAAATACCTCATTACAGCCACCAGATGGAGCTGATGAGCTTTGGAAATAGGTATTTATGTCCTATGCTCCATCTGGTGGCCATTATGTAGTATATACTTGATATCACATTCGACCTAAAAAGGAAATCTGCTAATGGCATTCATTTTTGTCTTCATTACCACTGCAGGACTAATGTATTCTGACAGCAGTGGGAGTGCTGCTGTCACAATACCTGAAAAGTGATTGCAGCCGTTTGGCCAAGAATGTTCAGACTGGCTCCTTCATCAAAAGGCAGTTTTGTGCTTCTGTGAACCTACAATGCTCTTATGAACAGACCTTTGCCTTAAGTAACCATAAATATACCTCTTTTCGGAATTGCTGAGATAAATCGTTAACTAAACCTTACTGTTTGTTGTAATTCACTCAGTGCTGTTTGCATATTGTACCTGACCTTCAACCTTTCCCCTTCTCATCCTTCTTCCCTCCCCATCCCTCCCTGCCTTTTCCATCCTTCCTGAGGTGCTCAAATTACCTCATTAGATCAGTCCTTACTGTTTACACTGATCCTTGTACCTCTAATGATTGCACTGTATCCTGTTTGACTGATGTTATACTTGTAATGATATCCACTGACGATACCTCTCTGTGCCTTATTTGTTTGAGTACCTGTTATGTCTAAATGCTCTCAATACTTTCAATACAAATTCTTGAAACGAAAAGGCAGTTTTGTGAAACGGCTGGGGGGTGCTGACAGGGCCACACACCGCTCGAATCAGCGAGTCAGCAAGAAGTAGTGTATGGCCAGCATTAGTAATACATTGAAACTGGCTTCAGATGGGTTAACAGAGGTTTGTTTGTTTTTTAAAAGGTAATAGCAGACACCTTGTGGATCCTGTTCTTGCACTTTTATTTTTTAAAGCAAAAATGGCTGCCAGGTTCACTTTGGTTACAGACCAAGTCTGTTTCCCTGGTTGAATGCTCATTTGTCCAGCAGGGGGCAGGAAGGAGAGATGTATTGTGGGAGTTAGATGAATAAATCGCTTACAAGTGATCAGTAGGCACTAGAAGAAGAGGGAATTTGGAACAACATCAAATAAGCACCCTAAACCTGAATGGGTTATATTCTATGTAGTGATTGACATATATCACGATGATGATGGTGGTGGTGGTGGTGATGATAGTGGTGGTGGCTTATTACCTGCCTGTTCATGTTTCTCTGTTGTTTTTATATATAAAGGTAAGGTCCAGAAAGGGGAGACGGTGTTGATACACGCAGGTGCTAGCGGTGTGGGCACTGCCGCCATCCAGCTGTGCCGTTTGGCCGGTGTGCTTCCTATAGTGACAGCCGGTTCAGCTGAAAAACTTGAGTTTGCCAAGAAACTCGGAGCTGCTTCTGGATTCAACTACAGAGAAGAGGACTTTGGCGCTAAATGTCTGGAGACCACAAATAGTAAGTTCCGTGCAGCTCATTGACATACAGTAACACACATATAGGGGTTCATTTATAAACGTTCCACCCAACATATAGCCAGGAGGATGCCATTCAAACGGCACTGGCACCCCTAGATGGTGCTTAGGAGCATAGGAATTTCCTATACTCATCACCTAGGGGCACTACTTCTGTGCAAACGCCATCTGCCAGGCTATACGCTGGGCAGAACCTTTATAATTGAACCCCAGCACTAGCACCCCAAGATGGCGCTGACGAGTGTAAGAAGAACTCCTTGTGGTTCCTGTTCTTGTGGCATTTGAAATGGCTGCCAGGTTCACTTTGGTTACAGACCAAGTCTGTTTCCCTGGTTGATGACTTATCTGTCTAGTACAGGCAGGAAGGAGATGCCTGGTTGAGGTTAGATATAGGAATTTTTTATACTCATCAGCGTCATCTAGGGGTGATACTGCTGTGCGAACGGCATTCGCCTGGCTATACACTGGGCGGAACTTTTATAAATGAACCACTTAGTGAATAGAAAAAATAAACCAAAGACCTTCATTTAGGGAACTACTGTACAGGTAAGGGAACAATCCATACACCCAGATTAGATTAAGGCTTTTGTCTTCTGAACTGTGCTCACGTATACGGCAGCTGGAATCTGATTGGCTCACAAATGTCAAAGCCACGCTTCTCTTTTGATCTGGGTTACATTTTGGAATGGATTTGCTTTTGAACAGCAAAGATAAATGTTGCCCTTAGTATGCAATTTCCAATAGTTTTCCTTGGTCATGGAACTCTGGGAGTGATTGGTTTTTTTTTGGCACGGGCTGTCTGCACCTAGAGCCAATAAACATTTTGCAGCCTTGTTTAAAGTGAAAAAAATCGTCTACATGAAAGCACACCCTGAACCTCAAACTTCCCCTAGCTAATCATCTAAAACCTAAAACTAGTCATTTACATCTATAGCCAACACTCAGAACCCCAGGTAGAACCCCTGTCATATTTGTATTGCTATTGGTGTCTCTGCTGGGAAAATTTGCCCTTTTCTATTTGTCATGGTGACCATTCTCACTGAGAGAGAAAGTGATAGGAAATCCAAAATGTTACAGTGGTCAGCAGAACAATAGGTGAGGTGACATTTTCCAATGGGGACACGGGCTCCAGTGACAACTGTTTAAGATGGGAATTCCCCAGGAAGTGATATAATCTCTAGGCACTTACCTCTCTCCTCTCCTATACTTACCTGATGCCCTCTTCCCTAGCAGCCGGAACTTACCTCTCTCCCCTCCGCTCTGGCTTGTGGACTGTTCCTCGGCACCCTCATGTATAATCCAGAGCTGTGGGGCCCTGCATTGTACGTCATGATGTCAGCGATCCTCAGAACACCGGAGTTTATGGGAGAAGAGGCTGTGGGTGCCGGTCCTTTAGGCTGGAGGAAACCTATGGGAGCAGGGATCAGTTACATAAAAGTCCTTTAGTCAGCTACCCAGACCTAAACAATGGATAACTTTTACATTATGTGGGGGGACAAGCTTCTGGGGTGTTCCCTTCTTCTCGGTGCAAGCAGTACTTGTACACAAAGGGGTGTCATTATAAAAAAATTTGCACAGCCATTCGTCCTGCGAAACTGCATGCCCATGCGTTCTGTGTGAATGGAGGCAAAAACTAATATTATTAGTATATTTTTTTCTTTGCAAGTTGAATGTAATATCAAGAAAATACCACAATATGGCCTCTAGATCAGTGGTTCTCAACCTTTCTAGGGCCAGGACCCCTTGGTAACATTTGCCAAGTTGTGGTGACCCCTCACGGTAAAATTTAGGGATGCAGCGACATCTGGCGGCGTGGCGAGAGAACTGACACGGCTGCGCTAGGAGAGGGCTGAGGAGGACTCTCACCTAGCACAGCAGAAATCACACAGCGACCCACAGGTTGAGAACCACTGTTCTACTTGCTTTTTGAAGCTGAAATACCCTTCCTAGAACAACAACAGCAGACTCCTGACATTACCTGCGTAGAGAGTAGAAAGCACAATCTTTTTGGTAGCTGCACTGTGGAGATAACCGCGTTATGACTGCCCAGGGCCGGATTTACTCTCCCTGCTGCCCCAAGGCCAGGTTCCGCAATGCACCTCTTCCCGCTAATCCCCCACCCCCCATCAATGGAGAATGGCAACAGGGTGACAGGGTTAGTTTTATTATTATTTTTTTTATTGTTTCTTTATTTTTATTTTTTTACTTTTTTATCACGTTTTTTATTTTTATTTATTTTTTACATTTTCAGCTTGTCGTTTACTTTTTTAAATAATTTTCTATCTTATTATTGTTTATTTTTTAGAATTATTTTTTAATATTATTTTATTTTGTACTTGGTGGCTGGTAGCCGCTTGGCTTCCCCTGGCAAATCGTCAGTCGACCCCTGACGGGGTCGCAACTCCCAGGTTGAAAACCGCTGCTCTAGATGGAGCTGAGAAGAATAGGAAATAAGTATTTATTTCCTATGCTTTTCAGTGTCATCTAGAGGTCATATTGTTGTATTTTCCTTATATAACATTTGACCTGGAAAGAAAATACACTAAAGGGGCCACATGAGAACCTGGGACTGTTGTGGAGGGCTGAATGCTGGGGGCGGGGAACACATTTGATGTCACTGGTTGCTTGGACCACTCAGCGGTCCTAGCAACCAGTGACTGCAGAGGAGGTGGACACCTGATGTCATTGGTTGCTAGGATGCCAACGGTAGAGGAGAGGGGGGGGGCCTTGTGCTGGGCTATGGCTTGCATTGGATGCACGGGCCTTGGAGGCTGCCGCATCCACTGTCCGCCAGCCATAACCGAGTACAGGTCATCGATCAGTCCATGTCTGGACCGAAAGCCAGACAGGGACAGCCGAAGGGCCGCAAGTAGCCCACGGACTTAAAAATGCTCAGGTCTGTACTACAAACATGAGTTTTACCCCCATTCACACAGAATAGATGTACAGACAGTTTTGCATGACAAATGGCTCTGCAATTGTTTTTATAAATACACCCCAAAGATTTATGCATCAGTACTGCTTGCACCAGGAAGAAGGGAACACCCCGAAAGCTTGTCCTGAAAATGTAACTGTCAGTGCCTATACAAAAAGTATCATAGATAGTAATCAACTATGTTGCTGCTAGAAGGGCAAACACTCTTGTCCCTTTATGTTGGCAGCATCCAATAAAGGTATTTCTGAGGGCCTTTGGGATTAGCGGTGCCATTCTGTACAGACTTGGTCAACATTCTGCAAGCCAGAGCCTAGTACACAAGTTATATCATTCATTATATTATCCGAGAAGTGCGGCAGATCTAACGCGGGGCTTGAGTCACTATGCACTTCATCACTGGGTTCCATTTGAACTGATCACACCTGACATCTATAATACCAGTTCACACAATACAGCCACTTTTACGTGCTCTGCGCTTTGTCCACTCCTTAAGGTTCTGGTAATTCGAGGACATGCGTTCTCTTCCTTCTTAGAATTCGCCTCGCTTGTTTCACAAATTAAAGTCTTTAGAGTGTTATTGTCAATTCTCCCGCACTGTTTGTTTTGGCTTCTTGCAGCCTGAGCAAACCTTGTGAGTCAGACCTCCGCCATGTTATTTTCAATTATCACAGGGAGTGCCAGTTATCATTAATACTCGGGTAAACACGCTGTATGGATATGGCAGGACAATTTGTTTGAACCTGTAGTTGAGATCTAACACAGAAGAGAAATTAGCAAATCTCCCTCTACGTTGTCTCATGTTCCCCATTCATTGCCACTGAACCTAGACACTCTACAGTATTCCTGCGCTGTACTCATCTGTTTCTAAAGTGAACCTGTCATGGTGAGGTATGTTGTAGTAGGCCTGTAACATACCACTGGCTGTGTCTATAATGTGATCCATGCACCATGGGGCTAGGTGCTATGACAAAAGTTTGACCCGTTTTTTGTTTTTTTCCCCCCAAGATCCAAACTTTAGACGGCTCTGTGAGGTCAAGACTTCTCTGCTATAAGATTTCTTTAAATCCCGATTCCAGCTTTAAAAACAATCTATTCCCCAGCACTTTTTAAAATTAAAAAAAGCATTTTTAGTTGCCCTACTTACCTCCTCTTCAGCATTGTTCTATGCAGACTCAGTGAACTGTGGTCCAACATCACTTCTTTTGCAGGCTGAATGACGCCAAGTTCAGTTTATTCCAGCTCCAGAAAGCCAGTGCAGGCTGTCCAATGGTCAGGGGGGACCCGGAAGTACCAGCAGAGGAGATGGTGGTGGTTTGGGAGGGAGCAGCAGCTAACTGCTTAGATCAGTCAGTGCTGGAGGAAGGCAAGTGTGGAAGTGTGGTCAGTGCTGGAGGAAGGCAAGTGTGGTCAGTGCTGGAGGAAGGCAGATGTGGAAGTGTGGTCAGTGCTGGAGGAAGGCAGATGTGGAAGTGTGGTCAGTGCTGGAGGAAGGCAAGTGTGGTCAGTGCTGGAGGAAGGCAGACGTGGAAGTGTGGTCAGTGCTGGAGGAAGGCAAGTGCGGAAGTGTGGTCAGTGCTGGAGGAAGGCAAATGTGGAAGTGTGGTCAGTGCTGGAGGAAGGCAAGTGTGGAAGTGTGGTTAGTGCTGGAGGAAGGCAAGTGTGGTCAGTGCTGGAGGAAGGCAAGTGTGGAAGTGTGGTCAGTGCTGGAGGAAGGCAAGTGTGGAAGTGTGGTTAGTGCTGGAGGAAGGCAAGTGTGGAAGTGTGGTCAGTGCTGGAGGAAGGCAAGTGTGGAAGTGTGGTCAGTGCTGGAGGAAGGCAAGTGTGGAAGTGTGGTCAGTGCTGGAGG